TTAGCTGAGGGTAGGTCCCAAGCGAGTATTTCCTTCCTTCTTTTTGGCCTTGGGAGATTTTGCACCTCCTTCCAGGGAGGGAAGCTTGACTTCTGAAATGACTCTCCTGAAGGAAAAGTACCTAGCTCTATAGGCAGCCCCCCACCCCACAAGGGGGAGGCACACCATGGACACTCAGGAGGTTTCTGCTCTGCTTGGTTCCCCTGTTGGTTCAGCCCATTTCCTTCATGACTTGGACACAGCATTCTTGCTCTTGTAAGACACAGGTCAATTAGATCCCAAAGTCTTGGAAATGAGCTGAGTTTCAGCAGGCATTGGACTGAGTTGAGTCAACCCTTGAATAACTTTGGGGTTAGGGGTGCTGACCCCCTGTCCAGCTGAAAATCCACATATAACTTCTGACTTCTCCAAAACTTAACTACTAATAAGCCTGTGGTTGACCAGCAGCCTTACCGATAAACAATCTCCTAACACCCATTTTTGTATGTGACATATATTATACACTCTGTATTCTTACAAAAAAGTAAGCTAGAGAAAAGAAAATGTTGTTTAAAAGATTGTAAGGAAGAGAAAATACATTTACAGTGCTATACTGAATCCCCCCAAATCTGCATATAAGGGGGCCCATGCAGACAGGTTAAGTAACTTAGCCTCAAGGTCACCAGCTAATAAGTGAAGAGCTGGGCTCGCAGACCAATCTGGCCGCAGAGTCTGCTGCTCTCAACCCGAGAAAAGACAGTCATGAGCTAATGAGTTGGGACTTTTTCCCTTTGCCAAACTTAGACTCACAAAGTAGACTCCAGCATTTCTTCCTCTCTTGCATTCCCTTCCACCAAGTTTACACCTGGGGAGAGGGAAAGGGATCTTCCTAAGGTCACAAAGTGATTGGATGCAGAGCTAGGAGCAAAATGCTGCCCCTTGACTCCCTCCTGGTCTCACAGCAGATTGCTTGCATCCAGCTAAACGTCCCCTCAGAAATCCGTTTGGAAAGTGTGGTCATTTTAAGAAATGTCCACACAAGTTCTTGGATATTCCTCCCTTCAAGGGATGGAGCCTCCTTTGCCTCCCCTCCTGTGTGGGCTGGACTTAGAGTCTCACTTCTACAGAATATAATAAAGCAGAAGCATCGGGAGATTAGGTTATAAAAGGCACTTCCACATTCTCCTCTCTCTTTCTCTCTCTCTCCGATTGATTGTTCTGGGGAAGTCAGCTGCCATGTGTGACCTTGAAAAATTTACTTAACTTCTCTGTGCCTCAGGATTTCACATCCATGAAATGGGGGGGAATATTACCTCCTAGGACTGTTGTGAGAATTGAATGAATCAATTTATGTGTCTGGCACATAGTAAGTGATCTTTAGCAAGGATGCTGGGCACAATTGTACAAACTTCACTGTTGAAGAGCCCCAGTTTTAGAAGTCAAATAGGGCCTCACCAGCCCGTGTCCTTTGGCCTGAGATTGCCTACCAAGAGGTGGCACTGTTTTCTCAATTGTACCAGAGTCACGCAGGAGCCAACAACCGTCCTGACAGGTGTGCCTGATCAGCATAAGGGATTTAAGTGTCTGGTAAATGTTACCTTAGCATTATCCTGAGGCTTTGAGCTGATGTCTACTGAGCTATAGTACAACCGTTACTTGGTGGCTTTGTGGAGTTCTCCAGAATCACCTCAGGAGGATGCCAGTGTCCCAAGCCTTGCTACAACCTTTCAGACACAGACAAAAAATAAAAATTAATTTAAAATTTTGAAAATGTAAAAAGCTTAAAATCATGCATGGCAACACCTTGTATTACTTCAGGTATATGTATAGATATGGTTCAACTGTAGAGAAATGTGGGGATATTAAGACCATATTCCGAAAAATGTCACCCTTGGGGTGGGGAGGGAGTGAGGTTAGGAAGGGGTGGACAGTACAGAGGTCTTCAGCTCCATTCATAAGTTATTTCTTAAGTTTAATGGTGGATACACAAGTGTCTATTCTTTAATCTTAATTATATAAAAATAATTCATAATCAGTACTAATGAAAGAGACCATCTTTCTGTGTAAGAGATAGTTTTTCACTTTTATCTTCTTTAGTCTCTGTGAAATATTAAACCCAAATATTGATTTGGAACCACAGACTCACGCAATCATTCCTTCAACAAGTATTTACCACTGAATGATAGAATGCTCAAAGAGCAAAGAACTTCATCCGAACGTTATAACACTGATAATAACCTTGGTTATTTGACTACTTCCCCTTCTTTCTATGAGGGGCTCTGTCTTATTCCTACGTATGATTTCTGCTACATGATAAGTATTAATAAATGTTAAATTAAATTGAATAAAACATAAATATGACAGTTTTTATCCTTACAGAGCTTTCCATACACTAAGGGTGAGAAAAGGTCTAGGATAATGCAGGTCATGATAAGTGCCCTAAGTCTGAGCAAAGTTCTGTGGGAATTCATTCATACATTTATTCACTTGACAACTATTTATTAGGCACCTACTAGGCCCTGGGCATGTGATCATCAACAAGAGAGACGTGGTCATCGGTTTTTACAACGCTCACTTCTTACCACCTTCATCACTACCTTACTGGTCCACGCCACCAACATCTTTTACTTGGTTTATTACAATAATAATAATAACCCAATGTCGTAATCCTGACTAGTCTCCCTACTTCCACTGTATTCCTCTATAGTAAAATCTCAACTGCATCCAGAAAGATCTCACTAAAACCCAAGTTAGAGCTCATCACTCCTCTGCTCTAAAACCTTCAATGGCTCCTCACCTGCGGGGGATTTGCAGAAATGGCCACAGGTCCTTAAATCTCTTATCGAGAGGTAAAGTCTATTTCTCAACCCCCTGAGTCTAGGCCAGCCTTGGGATTTTCTTTGTCCAGAAGAATGTACCAACTGTGAGCCCAGGCCTCGGGAGGTTTTGAACCCCTCTGTGCTTACTCTTGGAATCCTGCAGCTGCTAGATAAACAAGCCTGTTGAGGGGGTGGGGCGCGGGGGGGGTGTGCAACAGCACGTGGAGCAGAGCTGACCTAGGCAAGGCCCTCGAATTATCAGCCAACCTACCGGTTGGCTGAGGACACAAACAAGAGCCCAGCCTTGCCCAGCCTTTCCCAGAACCTTCCAGATGACCCACAGACTCATAAGCTAAATAGATGGTTGTTTTAAGCCATTGAATTTTTTTTCGTGGTTTGCTAGGCGGCAAAAGCAAACTGATTCACCATCTCATTCTGGGAAAAAGTCAAAGCACTAACTATATCTCCCGTATGGTATGCAGAACATTGCCTGGTGCATGGTAGGTGCTCAATAAACATTTGTCAAATTAAATTCATAAATGGAGTTAGTGTAATGAGGGAAACGGGGAGGGGAACTAAGTAAATAAACTAGTAAAATGACAAAATTTGTAAGTGCTATGAAGGACACAAATAATGGCTGGGGTGGAGAACCACAGAGTGAAAGTGGGAAGGTGGTATTCCTGAGGTTCCCCATGTCTTTCAGGATAAAAGCCTTTATCATGGCCTCCAAGACCCTACCCCACCTGGCTCTGATACACGCCAACTTCATCTTCTGCTAGTCCTCTAACACACCAAACACTCACACCTCAGGTCGTTGCCAGAATGCTCCCTCCCTTCCTTCCCTTCCTTTTAGTCGCTGCTCAGATGCCCCCCTTTCAGTAAGGTCTTCCTGACCACTCTGTAGAAATAGCAACCCAATGACCCCCAGAACTCCCTAACCTCCCCTCCCTTTCTTCTTCTCCACAGCACTTGTCACCAGCCGATGTAGTATATGTTAACTTTTGTTTGCTGTCTGCCTCCTGCACTCGAATTTATCTTCCAGGAGGGAAGGAATTTTGTTTTGCTCAGTATACCCTTAGGACAATAGTGCCTTCAGACAGAAATCCCGCCAGTGGATCCAAAATCCTTTAGGGGCCATGCTTCCTATCAATCCTAAGACTAGTAACACAAGCGTTTGGCTTTGAGTCACCCTGGGAATAAAGCAAGGGCTTTTTAAAAAGCCAAAATGCCCAGGTGAGTGTTGCATTGCTTACTGAGAACTCTACAAATGTGCTCACACAAGACTAAACACTAGAAGTAACACCTGTCTTCAGAGCGTATTTTACTGTCTGCTAGGGGCATTCTAATCCGTGCTATCATTTGCTTCTGGAAACAGCCCTGAGAGGCAGGCAGGGCAGATTTTATCACTCTCCATTTACAGATGGAGCTAGAGGGGCACTGAGCTCTGCTGAGCTCCGCAAGGCAAGGCCGGCAGGCATTCTAGTAAAGTCCGAATGCAAATCCCAGTTGGTGTGACTCTGAGTACAGTGCTCATTTCACTATTTCTTACTGTTCCTCCAACCTGGGCTTTGACCCGGTGACCTTCCTGAATCATTAAGATTCGAAGCCAATCTTGAGCTCCTGGAAGACCCTCAACACAGGAGGCTTCTCTTCCCTAAAGACAGCATGCCGCCGAGAGGCGTAGGTGAGGAACAGGCATCTGGAACGTCCACCGCAGAGCCTGCCGGTGGCTTCCAGACCTCCCCGGGCCTCTTCTGTGCGGGAGCCAGGCGAGGACCAGGCTCCAGGGTGGGGCGAGGAAGGCCTGCCACAGGGCAGGCTGGGCAGCGGCTTTCGGGTAAAAACCAGAAAGAAATCCCAGTCTCCCTGCTTTATTTTGGTTTAAGAATCAAGTCGGCTGACAATGGAAACTCTTTCCCTGCTGCCCTCTCCTTTCGGCCCATGTTGACAGGAGACGGACTTGCTAATTCGGGCTGGGGTTTTTCCCTGCCTGGGCTGTTTTTCTCTTTTATCTTCATCAATTGAAGAGAGCTGCTCTGCCTTTTCAAACAGTCGGAAGGTATCTGGGGTTTTGTGTATTTTTTTTCTTCCTTTCATATCATTCTGTGGGTCTTTTCCCAGATATGTATTTTCTCTCAAATTAACTTCTAACTTGTTTAAGTTTCCGCCCATGTGACTTCCAGTGTGAGTTACCAGAAACCACAAGAGAGAGAGCGCGCGCGCACGAGCCCCGAAGCGAGCGACATGTCCCTGTGGGGAGCAGTGCCTCTGCACCCCCGAGTGAGGAGGACGCAGGGGTCAGAGGCGGCTGCAGGGCGGGCAGAGGAGGGACCTGTGCAGGGGGGTGAGCTGGTGGCCTGGCAGCAGTCAGGAACGGAGGCCGGCTGGTGACCGGAGAGCCCCGAGGCGCCTGGGGGCCGTGTGGAGAGCCCGGAAGATTGCAGCCATGCCTCACAGCTCGGACAGCAGCGACTCCAGCTTCAGCCGCTCTCCGCCCCCGGGCAAACAGGTAGAAGCCCCCCTCTCCCTGCAACCCACCTTCTCTTTCCCTGCCGAGGTGGGGGCAGTCGGAGGGCGACGGTGGCCCGTCCAGGGAGCCGAGGAGCCAGGAAGTGGCTGGTGGCAGGAGCGCCCTGTCACACTTACGACGACGGGGTGTTGGCAGCTAAAGCTGCGCCTGTTGGCGGAGACCCTCCTCCTGCACCCGCGCCGCCGAAGCCCCTTTTCCTCTCCGCTCGCAGCCGGGCCCCCTGCCTCCGCCTCCCCCCACCCGGGGCCCCCGCCGCACGAAGCTTTCTAGGAAGCCAGGAGGAGACCGTGCGGCCAAGAACCCTGGTCTCTCAGAGGGAAGGGTCCACCGTTCTCCAGGGCGGTGGGGACGCGAGAGGCACCGCGTCGCGGAGGCTGCTGGCCTGCCCAGCCCGTGCGTGTGGGTTCGCGGGAGGCAGCCATCAGGGCAAAGGAGGGAAGCGGCAGGGAAAAGCGAAGAAGGGGAAAAAAAAAAAAAAATAGCTAGCTAGAGGAGGAAGCCAGGCAAGCCCAGAAGAATCTCTCATATCTACTGGGGCACTGGCCAGCAGAGAGGGATGCAGGGAGCTGCCACGAAAGCCTCTTTCCCCTGTGGCTTCTGGGCGGGAGGAAGGAGTCAGGAGGCGGCATCCGAGCTTGCTGGAGACACTCCCAGCTCAGCTCTGGGGAAACCAGAGCGATTGAGGTAGAGAGTCTGGGAGAGTTTGGAATCGAGATTGTGACTTCCAAGTCAAAAGTTTTCAGCTGGAGGCTTGCCCCCAAAACGGGACACCCTGCCTGCCCCCAAAGCTTCTGGAGCTTTCTCTTCACCGCATTCCTTGACATCCCTCTCCAGAGAAAGGCTTCTTCCTTCGCACCCGATACATCAAGGGATTAACATTGCTTCTCCAACTTTGTGGTTTAAAAACCACATTCTTTCCTTAGCACAGATATCCAAGAGGGCTTGCAAGATGCTGCAGCCGAAATAAAAGTATATAAACAGATAATACAGCATCTGTCATCAACGTCCCGCAGAAGGGCAGCAGGTTGGGAGGAGTTGTAGTGGAGACCTCTAGTGGGCAAACAGTCCAGTCCTGTGCTCCAGATGGCATCACGCTGGCTCAGGCTGCCTGGAAGTCTGTACTCTTCTTAGGAAGGAAATTACTCATGGCTTCCATGGTAACCTAGTTCCCCATGCCCCTTAGAGAAAAGCACTTCCTTCCCATCTAACCCGATGCCCTCCTACTGCAATGGCCTGGAAGTCTTGGGCACACTGGTGGGACTTATGCTTGCTGAGCACAGAGACTTGCCCCAGGAACAGTGCCCTTGGATCCTGTGTGGGCGTGAGAGGGAACAGGACAGGGGTTGTGGAAGGCTTTGATTCAGACTCCTATACTTATCCTGCAGTATCTTGGGAGGAGAGCTGGAGCTAACCTCTCTGCCCAAGGAGAGGACATGTCCATCTGTGGAACATACTTAGAGGACGCCCAGAGGTCCTCTTGCCCTAAGCACCCATCCACTACCTGCTGCAGCCAGGTAATCTCTGCCGTTAAAGCTGTTCTTGGCCTCTAGTTTGTATTAGGCACTGTGCTCAGGGCCACGGGGAATGTCAAGGTCACTGAGCATAATGAAGGGAATGCAGGAGAAAAAGAGGCAGATCTGGGATGGGGACCGCAGCCCAGGGATGTGGCAGAAGACACGTGGGTACAAACCAGTGAGGGGCGGGAAGTGGCTTGGAAAGGCATCAGACTTAGCCTCAGAAGATGGAAGGCCCTGGCTTACTGTAGCCTCCTGGGCAAGCCCTTTGAGCCTCAGTCTCCTCACATATAAGATAGAAACAATAATATTAACTGCACAGAATTGAGGAATTAAACAAGAGCACCTCTGAAAAAGCACTTGCATGGAAGTTGGCACATAGTAGGTGCTCAGCAAAGTTTTGGGGGGAAAAATAGCAAGAAAATTCTAGGCCGAAAAGTGAGAGAGTAAGGGTGGAGCAGCCCTGAAGGGAGGAGAGGTGATAAAACACACTTCATCGCCTTAACCATTTTTTTTCCCCCAAATACAGCCCTATCAAGGCCCCAGGGTCTTTTTCCTCTTCCTGTAGCTTTGGCCAAAATAGCTATAGGGACCTAAGAGAGCGTAACAGTGTGGGGAAGAGTTCTCTCTTGGGCTCAGCCTTTTGGTAAGCCGGGGGGTGAAGGGCCAAATGAAAAGACGTGAAGAAATGCAAGGATGGGCGGCCGGATACCAAACAGCACGAGAACCTGCTTTCACTCAGAAGAGAGGAGCACACTCACCTGATTCCCCTCACGTCTGCTTCCCAGGACCCATCCGATGATGTGAGAAAAGTTCAGAGAAGGGAGAAAAATCGCATTGCTGCCCAGAAGAGCCGACAGAGGCAGACACAGAAAGCCGACACCTTGCACTTGGTGAGTGTTCAGAACTTTCTTCAACCTCTTGAGCCTGAGGCTTTGCTCCCCACCACCCGTGGATGCTTGGAGCACAGCTTTGAGTCTGCCTGCATGGGGCTATGGGTCCGGGGGCGGCGGGGGGTGGGTGGTAAGCGGAGGGGTCGGGCTACGGGGTGCAGTGCAGAGGAGAGGCTCTCCTCTGGGTGTATTGAGAAGATTTAGTAGCAAGGAATGAGCCAGGGAGCTGAAAAAGAAAGGAGCCCTTCTTCCTGACCCCCTGAGAGGGCGTGAGGTGTAAGTGAGTCCATCGACTGTATGAAGGAGGGAGGCTGGGTGGAAGCAGAACCACCTAATCAGAGATGGGGTAGCCAGAGAGAGCTCTATCCCTCTCAAGCCTGGAGAGCAGAAGGCAGGCTTGCCTTTGGGAAGAATTTAGAAGGTGTTAAGCACTTTGGGGGAGCCCAGGATCCCGGTGCTAGGATCGCCTATGGTCCCACCCCCTAGGAGGCCAGTTGGCAGCCACCCTGGTCCCTACATTTGGGACAGAGAGGTCCACAGGGTGCTGCATGTTACTCCTCTTTCCACAACATCATTAAGGTTTTATTCTGAAATATCTTTCATGATATCCCAAGGGGTCTGTGAAAGATGCGGTTTCAAGTGCACTTCTCTGGGATGGTCCCTATTCTGGTTGAGTTGCCTCCAGTCTCAAACTTTCTAGAGAAGGCCTTGACCCCTGGCTTGCGTGGGAGCCTAGGGTAATGCTGAACTGCAAGTCCACTGGAGGACAAAGGCCCTGGTCAATGTTTCTGAATTCTGGCTGCATGTTTCACAGAGTGGTGCTTCCTCCTTGTCTCCCATACCTTACCACCTAGCCCTCTTCATTCTGTGCCTTCATTTGGTCCTCGGTCAACCAACTCTTACTTCACTGGCTCCAACCTCTACCATCTCCTCGCCCCTTCCTCTAGCAACCCCGCCTTCCTGTCCTTCCTCCTGAACCATTCCGGAACCTCTCGCAGCCTAGTCCTTCACTTCAATGGTAAAGGACAACTGGTACCCAAAATAAGTATGTTTGTGTTTATTTGAAAGATTACCATGGCAATCAGCCAGTTAGAATAGTTGTTTTAATTTTATCAAGGAAAAGTAAGATGTAGTTTTAGGGGGAAGAAGAGACGCTTCTTTTAGCTTTGTAAGGAAGCAGAGAACGGTCTGCACCAACATCTCTGACTGGAGGCTTGTGTTTTATTAGAATGTATTTGGCATATCTTCCACTGCGTTCCAACATAGTTTTCAGTTCATAAGTATTTGTTGAATTGAAAAAAAAGGAATGAATGTACACCAAATTCTTTCTTCTTTTTGATAATTATGAGCAGCTGCCTAAATGTGAAGTTGTCGGTGACACTGCTACTTACATGTTCTCTGTGGTGTCAATATGATTTAGGGTCTTAACACACTCCCTCCCGTTTACTATTTGAAGCTTGAAAATCTATGATCACTCACTCATCTCTATCAGAGTCTGATTCTAATTCAATATTCTTTAGAGCAAACAAATAAATAAAAATTGGAAAAGATAAAACCTTCCTTTTTGTATAAGTGGACAGTGTCCTGAGACTGTAAATCTATGCACTTTATAAGTTTGTACTATTAAAAAAAATAGTAAAAATTAAGGGTAGCTCAGCGGCTCTACAGTCAGAAGTACAGGGTTTGGATCCTAGCTCTACCACTTGCTATCTGTGTGACAGATCTTAGAGACATTCGACCTCCCTTAGAGTCAGTTTCCCTATCTATAGATTGGGAAATGACAGTAACTACCTCATGGAGATAGCGCATATAAAAAGCTCCACACAATGCCTGCCATATAATACTCAAAAAATTTAAGTATAGGGGCACCTGGATGGCTCAGTCGTTAAGCGTCTGTCTTCAGTTCAGGTCATGATCCCAGGTCTTGGGATCGAGCCCCGCATCGGGCTCCCTGCTTGGCAGGAAGCCTGCTTCTCCCTCTCCCACTCCTCCCCGCTTGTGTTCCCTCTCTCGCCGTGTCTCTCTCTGTCAAATAAATAAATAAAATCTTCAAAAAAAAATTAAGTATAAAAAAGTAATTTTAATAATAGTTATTAATATAGAAGCAAGATAAATCACAACTGGGGCACCTGGGTGGCTCAGTCCATTAAGCATCAGACTGTTGATTTCAGCTCAAGTCAGCCCCTCCCTCTGCTTGTGTGTGTGCATCCTCTCTCTCTCTCTCTCAAAATAAATAAATAAGTCTTTTAAAAAAATTACAACTAAAATTATATATATGTCAAAATCTCAGGGCTGAGAGATTTTTTAAAGGCTGGAAAGTTCAGACACACTTTCGATGCTTGAGATTCCTCTCTACACTCTCCCCCCAACCTCCACCAACGAAATGGTCCCCAGTATATGCCTGTTCACTTCTAATGACAGAGAGCTCTTTTCCTCCTGATATGAGCAGAGGAAGCATCCCTATCTTGAGCTATACTACTGTTTCCCTGTAAATTCAACCCACTGGTCTTTGTTCAAGCCCAGGGGGACATATCAATGAGGGGAACATGTATGTTTCTTTGCTGTGGCAAGCTTTTCAATGGATTCAGCTGTCTCTCTCTCTCTCTCTCTCTCTCTCTCTCTCTCTCTGTAAGACAAGAGTTAGAACCCGAGGATTTGGCCCATCTTGATTATTCTAGTCATGACTAGATTGAGATGATCTCTGGGGCTTGGAGAGCATGGAGCCTCCAGTCATGCAGTCAACACGTCCACACCCACACCTCCAGCCTCAGTCTCTACGATGTTCCCATCTTCCCCACACCTGGACACAAACTCCTCCCCACTCTTTTCTTTTGAGCACCACCGCATTCATTTTCACTTTTTGTCCGGTGAGTGGGTCACACTGGTTGACACAGGTAGCCTGGGGGTTGCAGCCAATGCAACTTGTTTCTTGACTTCGGGTAAAAGCTTTTGGCAGCAACATACAAATCTGCCACCATCAAACAGAGGGTTTGGCTGTGGTCTGAAATGTTCATTTCCTCTCAGATGTAATCAACCATCTTCTCCATCCATTATCCTCTTAATTATGTTTGTGATTCAGGTAGAAAATCTTCTGGTTTACCACTAGCATGCTTAGGGTTGAGTGCTTGGTTTACCCTTGACTCCATGCTTGGCTCCACAGGTTGAGGTTCTGGAACCATTCTCTGGCCCTTGGAAATAGCCATAGGACCCATCTACCAATATTTTAAAGACCAACTACTGTATCAAATAAGGACCATGTTTGTATTACTGTGCTAGCTTCATGTGCTGGGGTAATGTTTTCTCGGTTTCAGCTTTGTCACTATTATCTCTCTTAAAATAACAAAAGCATTACTTCATTTCTCCAGTGAGAGTGTGGGATACTTACTATTTAACGTTTTTAGTATCTATCCTATAAATGGTTTACAACAAAACACTGTACACGGAAAGGAGCCTCTTTCCACAATTGTCTAATCTTATGCCAACTTTATAACAGCCTTGGCATTGACTACCCCTCACATAAACTGGATCATGTACTTCTTTTCATAACTGTGATATCCATGGAGTCCACATTCTGTTTTAATTCTCTTTTGTTGGGTGTTTCACGCAAGCCCCTACTACACTTATTTCCTTTCCTCCCACAGACAACTATAAAATCTTTTAGGCACACTAAATGCACTGATTAAAAAGGAGAAAGGCATATAATTTTTTATTAAAAATTTTTTAAGTTTTTATTTAAATTCCAGTTCGTTAACATACTGGACCAGTTCATCTCCAAAAGACATCAGCAGCTAATAAGTGGATCCAAGATAATCAGTTGAAAAACTATTAAAAATAATAAGGGAACCCTGTCAGCTTTCAAAGTTAACACAAAAAGTAATAACTTTCCTATATGTAAACCATAACCAATTAGAAAATTTAATGGGAGGAAAGATTCCATTTGTGATACCAACACTGGCAAGTGGAAGGCAGGAATACATGTAACAAAAAATATGCAGGGCTTAACTTTTAAAAACTTTAAAATTATTCTAAGCGCTTTCAAAAACACTCAAATAAGTGGAAAGATATACCTTATGTAAAAATATGTAAAAATAACAAAAATTTTCCATAATTTTAGAGAAGGGTAACTAAGAAGATTAGCTGAACAAGATATATTAAAGTGAATTATAAGTATTGAAATCAAAACAATATGGAAAAGACAGAGCATTTGGCAGAACAGAATACAGAAAGAGACCCCAAAGCAAACTGAAATTTAAGACCCAAGTACACATGTCAATTCCTAAGAAGACACAAGAACAAATGCAAAATGATGATGATGGCATTTCAAACCAGTGAAGGAAAGCTAAATTATTCAATAAATAGAATTGGGACAACTGGCTAGCCATTTTGGGAGGAAGAAACTAAAGTCTTTATTTCTCACACAACATGAACGCAGATTAAATGTAAAAAAGAACACTAAAGAAATTTGGGGGAAAAAAAGAGCATTGAAAAATTATTTTGTGATAATGAAGACTTCCCCAGATAAAGTACAAAACCCTGAAACCATAAGGAAAAAAACTGACATATATTACCTTTATACATAAAAAGTGAAAATTTCTGTATATCTCAAAATACTAGATACAAAGTCAAAGGCAAATGACAGATTGGGGAAAATATCTGTAACATATGACCAAAAAAGGGCATATTTACTTTATATATGAAAGCTCTTATGAATGAGAAAATGATTAACCCAAAAGAAAAACAAGCAATGATTATGAATGGGCAATTTACAGAAAAAGAGAAATAAATAGCAAATAAATATGGAAAAGGTTCTAGACCTCACTTAGGGAAATGACAATTAAAGCAACAGTGAGCTTCCCTGCCAGACTGGCAAAGACAAAAAATGTTGCTAATATGTGATGTTGCCAAGACAATGGAGAAGCGGGCACGACCACACACCACTAGTAGGAGTATGTTGGTACAACTCCATTAGGAGGCAATTTAACCATGTCCATCAAAATTAT